GTGAACCAGCTGTAGTCTATTAGCACTGGGTCCTGGGTTCGACACTGGTCAGGGGATCCTTCTGTGAGGAGTTTGCATGTTCTTTCTGAATCTCCACCCCTCCAGCCCTCCCACCTGCCCGTGTGTGTGCCCCACGACCCCAGCTGTGTCCCCACCTGGAGCAGGTGTCTTTCTGATAAACACATTACAGGAACGAGTTTTCCAGTTCCAGTGTCCCAACGGATCAAACAGAGAATCCGCCCAGAAGGGCCTGTTTCTGGGATAACGGGAAGCGCTGGTGATTCTCATGCCGGTCTGTCTGCGTTTTTCCGCCAGGGAAGCCCGGAAGACCAAGGAGGCACTCAGCCTGGGTTACCATGGCAACGTGGTGGATCTGTGGTAAGAGATGGAGGTCAAAGGTCACGCTCTCCGCTCAGGTTAACACGCCCCTCTGGGAGGTCAGGGGGCGAGAAAGGACCGGCTGTGGGGTTCACAGCCGGAGGAAAAGCCCGAGCGGCAAGGGAGAAGCGGGAGTTTTGGCAGAGTTTCGGAGTGTGCAGATCACAGGGATGGGGCTGGGGAAGGGGAGCAGGTTTTCCAGGGTCCTACAGCCACAGCCTGAAACCAGCGAGCCGGCCGATGCGCTGGCTGCCCAGAGACAGGTGTCTGGCTAATGTGTTACGGCTGAGTAAACAAGGCCGCAGTGTGGTGGAGCAGGCCTGCTGCCCACTTCAAAGACTCCTGGCCGAGGAAGGCTCACTGAACAGCAGAGCCTGCAGCAGGAGTTCACAACAGGGGTTTCTCAGTTTTAGCCCTACAGTTCTTGAAATAGGCCAAATGGCTTCAGAAGCAAAAACGTAAAAACTAAAACCTGCGTAAAACCTGAAAATGAAGAAACTCTCCTTCCCCCCGCCTGTCCGGCCACAGCCCATGGGGCTGCCTGTGAGCAGGTACCTGCAGCAGAGAGACGGAGCACAGCACTGCCTCCAGCCTCTGTGCCCTCAGCGCAGTGTTATCGGTTAATCTCTGTACTGCTCCCGTCAGCGAAATAATTTATTGTTAGACGTCTTTTTTCATTCATCTCTTCTGCAGCTAGAGATTTTAAATTGGTGACCTGAAATCTGCTCATTTCTCGGGAGCCGGTAAGACCTAACTTGTGAATTAAGCAGGTGGTTCACAGACCATTCTGTAAGAGAGCTCCGCTGGGTTGACCCCCCAGCCAGCGTACTGCCAGGTCCCGGGCTCAGGCCTGTCCTGGGAGCTCTGCGCCCAGGGGTGTCCTCTCCTCTCCCCCAGGGAGCGCCTGGTCCAGGAGTACGAGGCCTCCGGGGAGCTGCTGGTGGACCTGGGCTCAGACCAGACCTCCTGCCACAACCCCTTCAGTGGGGGGTACTACCCCGCCCAGCTCAGCCTTCGCCAGGCCCAGGAGCTGATGCACAGCGACCCGGCCCGCTTCCGCTGCCTGGTGCAGGAGAGGTACCCTCAGACCGGCGCCGGCCTGCCCGTCTCTTCGCCTGCCTGACTTCCCTCTGGCTCTCTGCCAGTACCCTGCGGACATGCAGTGTGATATAAATGTGTGTTGTCCCATCTGGTGACCTGTGTGCTGTCCACTCTGCTGTGATACAGTATAAGACCTGTGTGCTGTCCACTGTGCTGTGATATAAGACCTGTGTGCTGTCCACTCTGCTGTGATATAAGACCTGTGTGCTGTCCACTCTGCTGTGATATAAGACCTGTGTGCTGTCCACTCTGCTGTGATGTAAGACCTGTGTGCTGTCCACTCTGCTGTGATGTAAGACCTGTGTGCTGTCCACTCTGCTGT